AGAAAAGGAAAAGAAAACGTCACTGCTAGCTGCCAGGTTTTGATTTCAGTTCTGAGTGAAGCAGGCATGGTACTACAAAGCCACGGCCGCTTTTTCTTCTTTTATCGCCAGGCTTTGACAGTGATCAGTAACAATGCAAGACATATGCAGAGCTACGCTTGCTTCTGCAACACGTCACCTAATAATGGCATGTGTTGAGGAGACCTGCGCAGCGTTCGCTTGATAGCAGTTGCGTGAACGTCGAATCAGTCTCACGGCACGTCCATTAGAGAGTGTGTGTAACTCCAACCGGACATTGATGTGTGTGCCTACGCGCGAGCACAACATTTCGGTGCATTCTAAAGGGTGTCACAAAAAGAATTTACAGGTTGTATTTTAGAGCGCAGCTCTTAGGTGCCCGTTCCCTGCTTGAGTGGCGTCGCCGTCGGCGTAACCGCGCGGTGCATTATGGGTAAATTTCCCCACTAAATCTAGCGAGAAAATTTCCCCGCTAAATCTGGCGGAAAAATTTCCCCGCTAAATCTAGGGAAAAAATTTCTCCGCTAAATCTAGCGGAAAAATTTCCCCGCTAAATCTAGCGGAAAATATTTCCCCGCTGAATCTAGCGGAAAAATTTCCTTGCTAAATCTAGGGGAAAAATTTCCCCGCTATATCTAGGGGAAAAATTTCCCCGCTAAATCTAGCGGAAAAATTTTCCCGCTAAATCTAGGGGAAAAATTTCTCCGTTAAATCTAGCGGAAAAATTTCCCCGCTAAATCTAGCGGAAAATATTTCCCCGCTGAATCTAGCGGAAAAATTTCCTTGCTGAATCTAGGGGAAAACTTTCTCCGCTAAATCTAGCGGAAAAATTTCCCCGCTAAATCTAGCGGAAAATATTTCCCCGCTAAATCTAGCGGAAAGATTTCCCCGCTAAATCTAGTGGAAAAATTTTCCCGCTAAATCTAGCGGAAAAAATTTCCCCACTAAATCTAGCGGAAAAATTTCCCCGCTAAATCTAGCGGAAAACATTTCCCCGCTAAATGTACCGGAAAAAATTTCCCCGCTAAATCTAGCGGAAAAATTTCCCCGCTAAATCTAGGGGAAAAATTTCCCCGCTAAATCTTGTGGAATGATTTCCCCGCTAAATGTAGCGGAAAAATTTCCCCGCTAAATCTAGCGGAATAATGGGGTGTCACGTGACCCCCTCCCAAGGTCACGTGACCTCGGGGGGGGGGGGGGGGGGGGGGGGGCACGTGACTCCCCCTCCACGTGGACCCCCCTCCCCGAGGTCACGTGACCCCAACAAGGTCACGTGCCCTCGGGGGGGGTCACGTGTGACCCTTTCCCCTATGTCACGTGACCCTCCCGAGAGACCGTGGCCCTCAGTACCCTTCCCTCCTCCTCCTCAAGAGCTGCGCTCCAATTCGGCGTTACAGGGAGTGGTAAACGGCTTTCACTTTTTTTACCGCAAAAAATAAACTAGGCATCGCTGAACGCTCATTCTCCGCTTAAAGGTGGCGCTAGAGGTCGCAACCAGATGCCAAAGTTTCAGCCCGATCTGACACCTTATTGAAAAGTTATAGGTGATTTTCTGAAAGGTTCAATGGGAAAATGGAGCCCATTTTTGCCTGTTTTCGGTTTCTGGTGCCATAGAGTCCCGGCCGCCAGTTTAATTCCCATTGAACTTTTCAGAAAATCACTTATAACTTTTGAATAAGGTATCGGATCGGGCGTAAGCTTCGGCATCTGATGTGACCTCTAGAGCTACCTTTGGGCGGAGAATGAGCGTTCGGCGATGCCTAGTTTATTTTTGCAGTAAAAAACCACTGTAATTTTTTTTTGTGACACCCTGTACTTCTCAGAAATGACCGTTGTCTTGTCCACCTACAGCAAAACATTCCGCCAACCTTTGGAGTGGAGAAATCACAAACCCCAAATAAAATAAAATAAAAAGTTGCGGGCAAAATTAAACTCTGTTTGTATTTAATTATGTCCCAGCCCTCTCGCACCCTACCAATACATCAGCGGTCCTCTATCCCCAGACATAAAGGAAACAGTGCCAACGGGACCCGCCCTAATTGCCTAACTGGCATTTGTTCGGGAATTCAGGCTGCTCTGATAGAAGACCTAGGGTGGAATGCATTGGCACTCTGACAACGAAATTTACTATTAAAGGTCTTATTAATACCTATCATAAAACCACTGGCATCAATAGCTCTTCGTACCTTTTACCACCAAATTATATTTTATAACGTAATGATCACATCCACGAAGTACGTAAGCTCTGTACCAAAACAGAATTGGGTAACAGTTTTTTTTGCTCAGGCTAGAGAATGGAATGTTCTGCCTAGGGATTTTGTTTGTGCCACAAATGCAAAAAAATATTTGTAATGTTTGTTTGCTCTTTGCGATAATCCCTTATACGGACACTGCAGGTTGATTATTGATGAAAGAATAAACAATGCAAAATGCTGGACTACCAGACTATGACCCCGACAAAGAACAATTCTGCCGACCTGCACCTTTCGCACACGTAATTTTTTTTTTTTAATGGTGCACAGGCTGGTAGTGTTTTGACGGCACTCTTTAGGGCTCGGGCATTGTGCAAGAGCTGCCACACGCAGGCGCCCAGTCCGTGTCTGCTCGTGGCGCCAAGGAAGAGTGCCGATCGCCAGAGGGGAAACTCTGGGCTCGTCAGTTCTGTTCATTAATAGACTTCTGCCAAAATCGAAGCGCCCCATCGCGGCGAAGTACCATGCGGTGCACTGTGGGAACTGGTTCGCCACTCAGTTTCGGTTTCGATTGAGCAACTTCATCTCATGCCATCACGCCGTGACTGAATGTGCTGCTTGCGTTTTCGATTATCTGACTTTTCACGAATGTACAATACACTCATTCTCGAGTGATACGGAATGAAGACCGGGGCACTTTCCTTGGTTCCCGAAATGCCGGATATTATGAGTGCGTATGTAAACGTAGTAAGACGTGGCTCAGTCACCCCACCCCACGAGTGCATCTTTGAGCTCAATTTCAATAATCCCGTCTAGTACCAGTGAACTACAACTGAAATTTGGTCACCTTGAGCCTTATACATATTTTGTTTGCCAAACTTCCGCTTCTTGTTACTTCATTGGGCGAAAAGTAAGCGGCGTCCTCACAGGAGTATCAACTTTCAAGGAAATGCCATAAATTTGACCTCACTACTGCACAAAAGTTACTATGATGTCCTCCTCATGTCATCACATATCTCACACTCAAATTTTATGCTGATAGGAGATTAAGTTTTTGCAAACACTGAGATCGGCTATCAACGACGGAGGTTCTAACACGCGTCCCCTACTTCTCGCCAAATCTTTTTGGACGAGCTTTTACTGTCGCCCAAGATCTGTGTCTGAACGGTGTGTCTGAAATTATCTCGGCATACTCAGTCAGAAAGAATGCAAACACATAACCAATATTAGGGCCATTAGCAACAGTCAAATGCACTTTGAATAATTTTGTTCGTTTGGCGCGCCGCATAGAGGACGTTCACGCCCGTCCGGCGAACGGTGCGACATTCTTCATACAATTGCTCAATTTTTGCTTTCTTAAAATGGTTTGTATGTGCGAATGGTGCCTATATGATTGCATGATAACTTTATGCGCATATGCGGTGTTGAATATTAGTGGAATGCAAGGGAGTGGGGACTTCGCTTCGTGCAGTGTTGTGGGTCAGTACAGATAAGAGATAAGAAGTGTGTTCGATTTGAGCTTTTCAACGGCGCCTCCGAGTTTTACCTTCCATACTCAGGCGTATTAAGAAAAACAGTAATTGCAAAAAGTTATATTTCGTCTATGGACGCACAAAATAAACAAACTTCCTGACCAACAACACTAATGTAAAGGTGCGAGCTCGATGAATGCATACCTATTGGTTGTTACAGCTTGTTGACTCGTACATAAGCAAGATCCCCGAGCTTCGTAGCATCAAGATTCCCAACACTGGCTCGTTCACATACCTCGAAACGCTAGCAGAAAGGTTTGAGTGCAAAAATACAACAATCGTGTGTTAAAACAAGCTATACGTCTCGGGCCTGGGCTAAAACTTCGAGGTCCGGCCATTTAGGTTAGTTTAGAGACCCAAAAAGACACTCTAGGGACCAGAAAACATGAGATACGCTCTGTGGATAATCGCTTGTCAACGTGTTGATCGAAGCCGAAAGCATGCCACTGTCCTCCCTGGCCAACTAGTTCCTAGAGTGCAACGCGCGCAGTGTTGCATGCTGGAGTTTATGGAAGTAGTCTATTCTCACGCTTGCTTGGCAGTTGGGTACCAAAAACGCCAGATGACCACCAAACATTTGAGGCAGGAAGCCTGGCACTTGTTATCCAGAGATGCCAAATGCCATCGCAATTATCGGGAAGCCTAACTTCGGCATTTCTTTGGTGGTTTGGACCCAAAGATGCCAGATGATAGTTGAACTACCCAGGCATTAAGCCTAACTCTCACACTTGTGTGGCGATTTTGGCCCAAAGATGCCAGATGACAGCCAAACATTCAGGAAGTAAAGCCTAACTCTGGCACTTGTTCAGCGAATTAGGGCCAAGATACCCAGACTCTTGCCAAAGGTCAGGTTTGGCTCTACTTTGGCTTCTTGGGGCTTCTCAAGGCCCCTAATTCCCAGACAGAAGCCATTTTGGCCCAGAGCCTTGTGATCCTTGGCCTGGCAGTGCCAGTGATTTGTTGTGTTAGTGCCATCTATTAGTGCCACCAGTGCCATTTATTGACATGACTTCCAGTGTGAAAGCTTGTTGCTCGAGTCTTGGCATTTGTATGACGTGTTCAGTGTTTATCCCAAGTATTTGCTGTGGGTCTACCCGAGCAAAGTTCTCTATACCCTTTAGGGTCCACCCTAGTGCAAAAGTGCCAAGTTATTATCGATGATTGTTGAGATAAAAGCCACTAAAAAAAAACCCAGACTACATAAGAAATATTTACCAGTTGATTGAGAAAGATTTCAACCAGTTGTTTTTTTCCACAGACGATACTGAAGGCACACCATGGCTGGAATATCTTTGAATTTTGCTGGATGCTCGAGACCATCTCTAAGAAGAGACTGCAAATGTTGGGCTCTGCGGACGAAGGCAGCGGCAACAGAGATCCCGTTTGTTCGGAGCCCCACATCATATTTGACCTCGTCCAAGTTCTCCGCTCCTATAATGAAGTCCTTCGCTGTCCTCCAGAGGTTTTGGGAGTAGTCAAACTCAATCGAGATATCATCGCAGAGATTCTGAGTGTCCTCAGTGAAAAGGATGTTAAGGGTGTGTTACCATGGGGGACAGAGTTTGGCATTAGCTAACACTTTCATGTATTGGTAGCGATATTTTGCTGGCATGCGGCGTCAATTTGATCAATGGGATAGATATAGATGTGAATATAATCAATAAATAAAAAAAAAAAACACCTCTTACACCCTGATGCTGGTTAATGTCGTGTATGATACAGGGTCCGATTGAGGAAATGAAATGCTGTTTCTTGTCCCGCACAAGTAAACTGCATCACAGAAAACTCTACTCCATGTGAATGTGACGTTAGCAGCGTGATAGGATGCGAAAGTTTGAGAGTAGTAATAAAGTTACACAAATACCACTGTATTTGTGTAGCTTCATTACATATTGCAGCTCAAGTAACTAACCTAATTTCTAGGAATGGCAACCCTGGAGAGAGAACATATAACAGACACGAAGCTCCAACATTGGAGCTTCGTGTCTGCCTTAATCTGGATGCCGATGAGTTCCAGATTCCGAAATGCTATCTCGTTCCCCCAGATTCACTCTAGTTAATTTTTTTTAAGAAAGCGATATTTTGTTCTGTACTGAAACAGAAACTTTTCTCTCAGCTTTCCTCGCCATCCAAACATGACGTCACTGGCGGGAAGCAACGTGCGAAGCGCGTGGCCGCCAATCGCCTGCCTGGCTCTGGGCGCCGGCATTTTGCTGCTAGTGGGTGGATCGTCTGATAGTCAAGCATTGCTAAGGCGGATCCACGGCCTCAGCAACCAAAAGCAAGATGGCGGCGCCCAGAGGCCGTACTTGCAAACGTCTTGTCTAGGGGGACCACCCGTCCTGCGACTCGCGGGACTGTCCCCGTATTGAGGACTCGTGTCCCGCGTCCCGCAAGGAACATCAAAATCTTCAAAATGTCCCACAGTTCACACAAGAAATTCACTACGTAACTCATGGCGCTGCCGAACAACGGGGCACGGGGAAGTGCGGAGGTCACTGGTAAACGTGTGAATCGCGATGGTACACCATTTTCTATCCAAGCATTGCGGGAAGCGACCGTCGTTCTCGCAGGAGACCTGACGCGCATGCACCCTTGTGCCTCTCTTCCCTTGGTGGCAAAATATTGCAAGAAAATTGCTCGCCAAAAGCTGAAAAATAAATTATTGCAGTTGTTTTCAAATCATGCTGTGCCAATCCAAAAAAATTGCTGTAAAAACATTTTTTAATTTTTATTGAAGACCACACAAGGCAAAAAAGACTGCACCTCTCAACGGTCAAAAACAACATAAGGTTGGGAAATTTTTGTAGGAGCATATGGGGGGGTAAAAATAAGAATCCGCAGGAAATAAGAAGCCGTAAAACATGTACTGCTCCCTCTATCCTTTTGATGCATTCAGTTCTGCTGCAGTGGATTTTATGTTTTCAACTTAGACAGATTTATTTACACATGTACCATTAAAACTTAAAATATATGACTGAAGAGTGAAAATTAGTTGAGCGTAATTGCCGCAATACAATTTGTAGCTGTATAATATACTTTCGGACAAGACAGGATATTAATTGTGTTAGCAGAGCCACATTTCGTGGCGTGTGTCAATAAATTTCTTTGAATAGTCATTTTTATGGTGTCTTTTAACCTGAGACGGGCAGGAGCAAAAGAAAAAAAATGCTTCCTCCTTCTACCCCACTCTCGGATTAAAAAGCAGAATGGTGAACTTCCACCAGCTCAACTGCACACCAATTTTTTTCTTTTTTTCAGTTGTTACAGTTGAACTATAATACCGTTCTTTTCTTATACACACCAAGGCCACCAAGGCCAATTGTTCCACACATTGCAGGGGGTGAAGGGGGGGGGGGGGGGGGGGGGGTTAGAGTATAGTTTGCGGGCTTCTAGCTTCGATTCCTTCAAACCCTGTCTCAGGATGAATATGACACACTGCAGCAATACTTCGCTCTCGGCAAAAGGGTTTATTCACTCACTTATTGCCTGGGGGGTTTCGGGATCGGGGGACGGTCGTCAGCGAGGCCGGGCAAGAGTCCGCTGCCACAGCAGCTTCTCCGAGTCCCAGCGGTGGTCGTCCACACCGCATCATGGGGACGTCGTCCAGGGTCGCTGTCCGGTCCGTTCGTCGAGTCCGCCACTCGACGTAGTGCCCGCACTCCCCGCGCCAGCGTCCCCCGCCGTCCGAGCTCGCCTCCGTGACTTGTTGATCCCCAAGTCGGCAGCAAGAGAGAGCCTTCCTTTGTCTCCGTTCCCCTTTTTATATCCTCGCCCCAGCACCGACCACGTGCCCACCACGACCCGTCCACGTGTACACGCACGCCCCTGCCACAAGCCCCGCACGATCCACGAGCGGGGATTACGCGCCGTACGGGGACCCTGTCCAAGGATCCGGGTGAGCAGGAATGTTCGGCCCTGGCAGGGCGCGGGTAGAGCGGGCGAAGGAGCGGGGGAAATGCGGGAAAGACGGGACTCCAGGGTGGGGCGGCCGGACGGATCCCCCCACCTCCCCTCCCTCAAGGCTCGGACTCCGGGGTGCTTGAAGTTGCGTGGTCCCCAGGACCCTTGGCAGGGAGTGTTCAGAGCTTGTGTGCTCTGGGCGCGACGCGCCAGCCGGGCAGACGAAGCAGACGAGCGTAGACGAAGCAGACCCACAACGTTTATTACCCTAGCATCAAGTGGCGAAAAGTCCCCGCGTCTCGCGGCGCACGCGCTTATCTAGATCACGATGCGCTCCTGGCGCCATCTCTTGGTCTCCCCTACATCTCCCCCCGGAGCTCGTTACTGCACTCTAGTTACACAGTTCGAAAGAAAGCGATGTTTACAAGTCCAACCGTCTTGGTGGCTTGATGGCACGTCCATAGCGTGATCTTGTAACACCTTGCGGGGAAGGTGCACGATCCAGAGAGGGTGAAGAGCAGCCCGCAGTGGGCAACTCCCCAGGGTGACCTTCTTCGGGTGGTTGTCCTGGAGGCTCTTCGGCAGCAGGAAGCTCGACAGACTCCCTCGCAGTAACGGTCGGCGAGAAGGGCACCAGGTGCCGGCGGTTTCGCTGTAGGATTCCCTTGGGAGTCTCTACGACGTACGACCGTGGTCGTTGGGCAGGGCTCAGGACGCGTGCTTGACAGCTGGCATCCGTGACCCAGACGCTGTCACCTGGCTTGAGAGGATTAAGAGAGCGAGCGTTGTGCCGGCGATTGAAGTCTCTCGCCTGCCTGACCTTATTCCTGGAGTCTTGAGCCCGGAACCTCTCGTGGCTTGGTTGTACTGGTGCGAGTCGCTGCGGCAGAGCAGGAAGACGCGTCTGTAACCGCCGACCCATCAGCAGCATGGCGGGAGAGACTCCCGCGACGCCCGGAGTGTCCCGGTAGGTGAGAAGCGCTAGGTATGGGTCTTCGGACTTGTACAAAAGATCATTCACCGTGCGCACCATGCGCTCTACTGCGCCATTACTCTGCGGGTACCGAGGGCTACTGGTCTCATGCTCGAAACCGTATGACAGAGCAAAGTTTGCGAATTCCTGTGAAGCAAACTGCGGACCATTGTCTGTCCGTACAACGTCCGGTATCCCATGTCGGGAAAAGCAGCTCTTGATAGCCGCGATAACCGCTGAGGCTGACGTAGAGCTCAAGGAGACGACTTCCGGAAAGCGAGAGTAATAGTCCACCATGAGAACATAATCACGGCCTTTCAGCTGAAACAAGTCAATGGCTAGGCGTTGCCATGGCCGATCTGGTGTAGGCGTTGACATCAAGGGCTCCGAGTGTACAACCCTTGTTTCCGCACACTTGTCACAGCTGGTGACCAACTGTTCGATGTGGCTGTTGCAGTTAGGCCACCAGACGCTTTCTCTGGCTCTCTCCTTACAGCGGCGAAGTCCTTGATGGCCGTCGTGCAGAAGGGCCAGGACGTTGCTACGCAGAGCAGCAGGAATAACGAGGCGGCAGTCCAGCAGAAGGTCCTCCGAGACTGTCAACCTTCCTCTCTCTTTCCAATACGGCACCAAGTTGGGAGGCAGCTTCCTCTTGTCTGGCCATCCCTCTTGGCAGTAGCGGACGACGAGAGAACATTCTCCATCTTCAGCTTGTCGACGACGAACCTCTTCCAGCCTGTTAGCGAGGGGAGGTGGAAGACCTTTAAATATCTCGCTAGCGAAAATTTTGACGGAGAATACTGTGGAAGAAGACCAGCGTGTCCGCCGTGGCAAGAAGTCTACCTGGTACTATCGGGGAAAAATGAAATGCGAACAGAGGAGCGCGTGGCTCGCGGTAGAGGCTGCGCCACCTGGAAGTGAGCCCAGGGGCGAGGGTGCGTGGCCTACTTCGATGTGTTCACGCCCCTCGCTCAGCGCTCTCCAAGCTTCGGCAGTTCGCCTCTCATTACGCTGCAACCGTCACCGATATCTTTGCTGGCTCAGCGCGTGCGGTGCGAAGAAGCTCGTCGCACACGCCGAGCTAGCAAAGATAGCGGTGATAGCTTTCAGCGCACTGAGAGGCGCACTGCCGAAGCTTGGGGAACGCAGAGCGAAGGGCGTGAACACATCGCAGTAGGCCACGCACCCTCGCCCCTGGGCTCACTTCCAGGTGGCGCAGCCTCTACCGCGAGCCACGCGCTCCTCTGTTCGCATTTCATTTTTCCCCGATAGTACGTGCCGAACGTCGAATTGGTAGCGCATCAGCTTTATGCGCATTCGCTGAATTCGCGGTGGCAGCAACTCCAGCTCCTTTTTTCCCAGCAGGGCGACGAGAGGCAGGTGATCTGATTCCATGGTAAAACTAAGCCCACGCAGATACTGGTCGAACCGAAGAACAGCCCAGGTCACGGCGAGAGCTTCCTTTTCTGTCTGACTGTAGCGTGCTTCAGTCGGAGTCAAGGACCTTGAAGCGAAGGCCACAGCACGACGAGCTCCGGACGGCTGATCTTGCAGCAGTACCGCTCCCAGGCCAAATGAGCTTGCATCTGCGGAAAGTATCGTAGGATAGCGTGGATGGTACTTTGCCATGCAGGTTTCCGAGCTCAGCATAGCCTTCAACCGCTTGAACGCGTCATCTTGGCTTGCTCCCCAGGACCATGCGCTTCACTTGTTGAGAAGTGAACGGATGGGGGCAGTTACGTCCGAAAGGTGCGGCAGGAAGCGTCCAATGTGGTTCACCATCCCCAGTAGACGGCGAACGCCTGCAACGTCCGTTGGC